TGATAGACTGTTACCCATGCTACAGCCGAAGTTGTTGTTGTAGTAAAAGCCGCGAAATTGAAAGCAATTGTGCTTCATACAGATTTTAATACAGATTTTAATAGCAATAGAGATTGCTTGTTTGGTTGGAATTCTTACGAAGAGATTACTTAGAACAATTTATTTTCTAGACGACCAGCATTTAGAGTTGTTTCTTTCTCAATCACCCTGCAATGGTATACCTGGCCATTCCTGGTAACATTTCTCGAAATAAAATTCACAGTTTTCTACCAATTTCGCAATGCTGCTGCTTACTTAAAATACCATTATTGGAAATTTCTCGGTGGGGATTTCTCCTTCGTGCCTTATTAAATAAAGCTCACATTTTGCTATTGTCATTGTGCCTAAAAAGTTCAATAAATCGGAGGGTAGCGCGTAGTAGCCGTTCATATTGAACATTTTGGATGCACACAAACACACACTCCCAGAAAAAGTTAGAATTCCACGAAAAACAGGTGTATGCTACCAAGGGCACATTGTTAATTCATTGAACTTCGACTCGGTTTTATAAATGCTAACCTTATTATATTTGAATCTGCATTATTTAGCCTTGCTGGAGAAATTAATGTACATATGTATATATACCTTACCTGAAGATTTTAGTCCTTGTAGCTTGGTGACGAGGAACCTCCCTGCTTTTTTAATGATTTTTTGCATGGTGGATTATATAGACCAGACCTTAGCGAGGCCTTTTATTGAATATAACAGGCATTGGCCGCTATAAAGCTCCAGCACATTTTGCTCTGAAAAAAAAAAAAATACATGTGTTGTCCTTTAAATTTTCCCGATTAAATTTGCCTCACAGATTAACATTTCTCTGCATTAAAAAAGAGAATTTCTCTTGCGTTAATGATTATTTATCAACAGTGTTTGTCTATGTATACGTGACCTAGATATGTATGTTTGTATGTATGTAAATACTTGCCTGGTGTCTACCCACCCGACCAAGAAACGTATGTTAGCGGATGTTACGAGTTTTACGATAGTTTCTCTTACCCGCACGCTCCGGCTCACCTAAGAGTCTCGTATTTCAAACGGAAGTTTGTATTTTTGCTTTTCTGTCCGTTGAATGTATCGAGAATGTATTCGTTTAATAATTTTTCTCTAACTTTTCTCGGACAAAATATTCGAAAAAGTAAATAGAAGGAGGCACTGCTTTAGTTAACATTTTGTTAGAAATTTTCTATCATTACAAAGTAAAACGTTTTGTTTCATGTGCGTTCACGTAATACAATAATTGAAAATTGTAAGGAATCACAAAATAAATCAGAGTAAGTATTGAAACTCCTTTGCATGATAAATAACTTAAACTAATAAACTGACTATCCTTATCATACAAATAGCACAACTCACACAGTTGGATCAAACTTTTTAAGGAACCATATAAAACATCACAGTAAGTATAAATAAATAAATATATTTAACTAAGTAACTGACTATTTTTTTTTATAATGCCTTGGTCACTCATGCGAGTGATTTTGGGTTGCCCTTAATTGTTACTCGCATGCCATGGCGTATGAGTGACAAAGGGTGGTATTATCGCCTGCGAAGCGTAATATCATTGAGTGTTCGCGATGTAAAGAACTTATTATTTATCGCATCCATGTAGTTATAAAGTATCTATTTATTAAAGCTACTCAAGTTTTATTTTCTTAGAAAATGCCGCCTAAAAGAAAACGTCGCCAATACATTGCCGAAATTCGGCACTTTAAAAGAACTTCTGTTCAACATATTAATGGGACTGCAACAAGCACGACTCCTAAAGCAGCAGATATTAATTCAAATAGTGCTTGTAATGAAGCAGATCATACATATGACCAGGCATGGGCAGAGAGTTAGCAGGTGCTAAAAGAGCGTAAGCGTCGCGTGTACGTATACAAGCGAGAGCGCAGCGATGAGAACACGACAGCATGCAAAATGAATTAGGCACACTAACACATTCTCACTTTTAGCTCACGCTTGATTGTGGTAGTGCCCACCTCTGCATATGACGTACCAATACCCTGCAAAAATTTGAGGACCAGGTGGTCCACTGGGTCGTAGTTTTAAAGTATGTGCAAAAGGACCAGGTTGCATACTAGTAACTTGTTATGCTTACCTGGACCACTTCAAACGTAAAAGCTGATATATTTTTTGAGAACCACCTCTTCGTGCCCCATCGGCAACAAGATTCGGCTGCCGAATGTGCCATGGTCCAAAAGGAGTAGTTGTCTAGGTGGTCCCATGTTATGCTGCGGTGGACCAGAAATGGTCCCATGTTATGCAGCGTTAGACCAGAGGTGGTCAGGTCCAATGACATCGCAATGTTAATGTAACCATATTTTCTCCATATATTTGGACCATTTTGGTTACTAGTGTTGGTTACAAGGTAGCATGGTCCTGTACTAGTATTTAACCTAGTCCCACTTTTTGCAGGGTAGACTCTCCCAACTTTACTGCTCGTCTGGCACGGTGGTTTTTAACGAATAATGTTAGCCGACAGGGTGCGAACGATTTGCTTGCACTACTGTCAGAGAAAATTTCTGATTTGCCACGTGATGTGCGCACGCTGAAATGTACACCACGGACGATTGTTAAAAGACTCGTACAACCAGGAGAGTACGTTCACTATGGAGTGAAAGACGCACTTACGGACTTTTTGCGCAATTTTCAATTTGACCGTTCAGACATTTCACTTAACATTAATATAGATGGTCTCCCTTTATTTAAAAGTTCCGTAAGCAAGTTTGGCCCATTCTAATAAATGTGCTTGATACTAAGCCCGTTTTGGTTGCGGGGATTTATGCCGGCTGCTCTAAACCGCAGGATCCCAATATTTTTTTAAGAGAGTTCGTTCAAGAATTCTTCTTCACAATGAATATTGCAAAACCAAAAATGCACTTGCAAATAGTTTATTAAACAACTTTGTGAAGGACGTTTCCTCATTATACTCTGGGACGATGTTAACATATAATTTTCATTGTTTAACCCATCTCAGTAGCCAATCAAGGATTTTTGGCTCTCTTGAAACCATAAGTGCTTTTCCTTTTGAAAATTTCTTAGGACAACTCAAAAATATGGTAAAAAAAAGTGATAACGTATTGGAGCAGCTTTATAACCGCATAGTTGAGCGAAGTTTATTTGATGTTGTGCACAAAGAATGTAAACTAAATTCAGACGTTTCCCGAAAAAATATTGTCTATAAGGACTTTTACTTTGACTTGAAAGGTACTAATTCATTTTATTTTGTTATAGACCATTCCGTTTACAAAATATACAAAATTTTTGAAATAGTCAATAATACTTTATTTAGTAATTTAGTTACTGACTTAGATCCTTTTTTTAGTTATCCTATAGACTCGACCTTGGTGGGTATTTTTTCTTCTAAAAGTTTCGAAATAGACTCTGAAATAATTAAACACCCAGTAGATAAAATATCTGGGAAAGTTTGTCATATTATTGACCAAATACATATTTATATGCCATTTATACATTATTAGGTTAAAATGGCACATCAATATACCGACCTTTTCAATATGGACGATGGAACAATTTACACACAAAGACCTGCACATAACAGCAACTTATATAACAACAACAATGAAATACAATTAACAGGTATTTATTGAATACTTTATAACAATTTCAAAAATTACAAAATAATCTTTATTAGAGATTCTTAAACTTTTGCATGACGTCTATGGAAAAGTTAGTGAATTAACAACAAAAGTCGATCGCCTCAATATGGAAATGATTTCTGTAAGGAACGAGGTTACTTCCATAAAAGCTAAAGTTTACGGAGAAATATCCATTGAGCGTGAAATAGTTCCTCGCTCTCCTTTCTCAACTTTAGAAGAAATTAATAACCTTGAAGAAAAACTTAAGAACGAAGAAGTATTTAAAAAAATTTGTAAGTGTAGTTTTTATATATTTTCCTAAAAGAATCGGCCCTATCGCGAATTTCACATGAACAAATATTCCCAAAAATTATAAAGTAAAACAAAAACTATTTTTCCCAATTTGTTTTTGTTTTTTGCATGTCAAATTATGGGAACGATTTATTCAAATGGAATTGGCGATAGGGCTGAATGTTTCATTTCTCAATACAATTTACTACAAGCAGACACTATTTAATTTTGAATTTCCAATGATTGCATTAATATATATTTGTTTTAATATACCTATATTTGTATTCAGGTTCATGAAATTTGCACCAATGGAGAGAAGTCGTACGATAAATTTATAAGAAGCTCGTGGCGGTCATTGTTTGAAGACACGTTAGCGCAGCAGTTTTCATGGCGTGGGACAGGGGCAAAAAAATGCATAAGAGGGATGAATTTGGCCTTGGCAATTTGAAGTAAGTCGAACAGCTGTATCGAATAGTCATTTAATTTCTTTTAACATTTTATTCAGATGCGTTTACAAAAAAGTTTGCGTTGGAGGAGAGCGAATTTGACAAAGTAAGTCAACAATTTTTTCAGTACGCACATGACCGAGTCTGCTAAATTTACAAGTACCAGGAAAAAAACAAAGGATTCAAAATGATGTTCACGAATAATAAGTTTTAATAACATGTTCAAGTTATAATTTTTAAGTAATGAATATTTATTATTTTAATATTTAAATTGTTTTAAAACTTGATAAAACTGAACTCTATTAAATATAGAACAACTGTTAAAATTTTAAAAGCACTCTTCTTATATGGGAATCAACTGGAATGGAATAGCTCTAATTATCGTTTTCATTAATTTTTCGATAGAGAAACGGGTCGAAATATCTTTCGATTTCGCTACTTTCTCGATAATCGAAAAGATCGAAAACATTGCCGTTTTCATTAATTTCTCGATAGAGAAACGGGTCGAAATATCTTTCGTTTTCGCTACTTTCTCGATAATAGACCAGATCGAAAACATTGCCGCTTTCAATAATTTCTCGATAGCAAAACGGGTCGCAATAACTTCCGCCTGAGATACGTTTCCACTATCGAAAACACTTCGAAAAACCATTTGAAAACGCATGTCGAGAACGAGAGCTCTGCTGCCACAAACTGAGCGACAGGTAATACTTTTACGATACTTTTTCGGAACCCGTTCTCAATAGTTTTGTAAGTGAAAGTGTTGCTAAAATATCTAAAACGGATGCATTCTCGTGTACGTTGGTCGGGTGGGTAGGTTTGTGGTTGTGGCATTTACTTACAATTACTTGCTTAATTATTATAATGATAATCGTTATGAAAACTCACACAGTAAATATGTATGTATGTATGTAGGTATGTCTTTACAAGCAATCATGCATCCACAAATACAAGCACAAATACACTCCATAGTTTCCGTACTACTAAGCTCTTTAGTGCGCATTAATTCCCAAAGATCCGCACAGTGACTGTCAGTGGTGGTGTGTCAGTCTTAAGAAAAGTGACAGCTGTGCAGACACAATTGGACATAAGAAACTGCCGACTGACTGGTTTCTAAGCTAAATTGTTATTGTCCTTGTTGTAGCCAGCCACTGCGGAAGTCCTTAATAAAGTGTGCTGCGTAAGCATAAAATTATGAGACTTGTGGTCCGGTCGCTGGGACACCAACCAGTGCCATCTTGCCAGCATGTTGTCGCTGCACCATGCCAATGACCAAGCGGTTGGCCAAGTGGTTAGTTTGTCGCTCGAACGCATGGTCGCTCGGTTGGTTGGCCTAAGTAACTAACTGAATGGCCGGCCGGCTTATCCGAGTCGATGCCTAACTTTGTCGGAGATGGTGGTTTTGTGTTGTTGTCCTTTATGGCGGTTTGCTGTGGCATGTTTTTTTTTGTTTTTGTTTTGATCATAATTCTGCTGTTGACCTGATTTTTGTGTTATAATTTGCGCGCCACTAATTTAATATTCGCAAAATTTTCATTCCATATACATATAATATTTGCATTAGGGTGGTACAAGAATGCATGATAAAAAAGTAAGGTCGGAATTATTATGCTCTCACCACCTAGGATTGATATACGGAAAAAAATATACTCAATTTTTTTTTTATTTTGATATCAAAAAATATTTACAGGTCGCTCAAAGCGCTCAAAGTAAATCGTTAGTATTAAAAAATGGTTAAATTAACAACTGGGTATTATTATTGGATGTTTCCTGAAGGCAACCAGAGTTTTCCCAGTGAAAAATATCTATTTTTCAGAATTTTATACCATTTCTACGAAAATTTGTTTTACCCCCATATAAAATACATGGAAAACTTTGAGCGACCTCTAAGTATTTTTTGATTTAAAAATAAAAAAAAAAATACAAAATACGTGGTGAGAGCATTAAAATCCCCGCTTTACTCTTTTTGGACCACCATAATGTGCATACATGTTCTTAAATGAAAGCCACAAAAAAATTTAGCTGAAAAAATTATTATTTGTGAAGAAATTAATGCCCGTAAATTTGT